TTCCTATTTACCTACAAATTATGTATTTTCTTACCAAATTTTTCATTGAAACTTTGTTTTTTGGAAGTCCCAGTTCAGGCTGAATATAAAAATGGTAGTTCAGTCAAATTTTATTTTTTAGCAAAATGTAGACTAGAGCAGAGGGTAAGAGGGGACTCTGGAGGGGGCAAGTGAAAAGGGGTGGGCTGTCAAATCCCTGCTCTGATAGTTACCAATTGTATCTTTGTTTCCTCACCTATGAAATGGGAGGTTAATTAACAGTAACTGCCTTGGAGGGTTTTTGAGCATTAAATGAAGTAATACATATGTAGCACTATGTACCTAGAACATAGTAAATGCTAAATAAATGTTAATTATTTTTATTGTTGTTATTATTAGAAACTCACAGCTCTTATGATAACAAAGCCCCCTTTGATTAGGTCAAAAGCAAAGCTATATGACGCTGAACTATGTCAAAGTGTGTTCTAGAGAGTTGGTTGTCTACTCTACCCTACCTAGCACATGTCCACTACTTCAGTGGCTCAGTCACTGGAAATTTAGCCATTTTCCATCTTTCTTAGGCTCTGAAGGTAACTTCCATACAAATTTGATTTGATTTTAGTCATCTTTTATTGCTCTGTAGGGTATAGCCAATTTTGCTGTTTTTTGTTTTGTCTTATTTATTTATTATTTTTTAATTGACACATATTGATTTTACNCAATGTGTGATGATCAAATCAGGGTAATTAGCATATTCATCACTGCAAAAATTTGTCATTTCTTTGTGATAAGAGCATTTGAGCTCCTCTCTTCTAGCCATTTGAGAACATACATTAAGTTATTATTAATTATAGATGCCTAGCACAACTGTAGAACACTACAACTTATTTTTCCTATCTAGCTGTAATAGCGTATCCATTAACCAACCTCTCCCCACTCTGCCTCTCTCCTCCCCTTCCCAGCCTCTAGTAATCACAATTCTATTTTCTACTTCTATAAGCTCAACTTTTTTTAGATCTATCATATGGGTGAGAACATGCAGTATTTATCTCTCTGCAGTTATTTCACTTAACATATTGTCTTTCAGGTTCATTCATCTTGCTGCAAATGATGTTCTTTTTCATGGCTGAGTAGTATTCCTTTGTGTATACATACCACATTTTCTTTATCTGTTTATCCATCAGTGGAAACCTAGGTTGATTCCATATCTTAATCTTGCTGCAAATGATGTTCTTTTTCATGGCTGAGTAGTATTCCTTTGTGTATACATACCATATTTTCTTTATTTGTTTATCCATCAGTGGAAACCTAGGTTGATTCCATATCTTAGGTATTGTGAAGATGCTGCAATAAACATGAGGGTGCAGATATCTCTTTGGTATACTAATTTCCTTTCCTTTGAATAAATACCCAGCAGTGGGATTGCTAGGCCATATGGTAGTTCTATTTTTAATTTTTTGAGGAACCTCCATGCTGTTTTCCATAATGGCTGTAACAATGTACATTCCCACCTACAGTGTATAAGAGTTTCCATTTTCTACACAACCTCTCCAGCATTTGTCATTTTTCATCTTTTTGGTAACAGCCATTCTAACTAGGATGAGATGATATGTCATTGGGATTTTTGCTTTGAATTTCCCTGATGATTAATGATGTTGAGCATTTTTTAGTGTACTGTTGGCCATTTTTATGTCTTCTTATGAAAAATGTCTATTCAGGGCATTTACCCATCTTTTAATTAGATTATTTGTTTTTTTGCTGTTGAGTTAAGTTCCTGTATATTCTAAATATTAATACCTTCTTGGATGGATAGTTTGCAAATTTTTTCTCCCATTCTGCTAGTTACCTCTTTGCTCTGTTGATTGTTTTCTTTGATGTGCAGAAGGTTTTTAGTTTGATATAATCCCATCTGTCTATCTTTGCCTTTGTTGCCTATGCTTTAGAAGTCCTCACCATAAAATTTTTGCACTGACTCATGTCTTGGAGTGTTTCCTCTATGTTTTCTTCTAGTGGTTTTATAGTTTCCGTTCTTTCATTTAAGTCTTTAATCCATTTTTAATTGATTTTTATATATGGTGAGAGATAGTGGTCTAGTTTCTTTTTCTGCATATGGATATCCAGATTTCCCAGGACCATTTATTGAAGAGGCCATCCTTTCCCCAATGTGTGGTACCTTTTCACTGGTTTTTAAAATTAATTTATTAACTTTAAAATTTTTAGTAAGGTTGTTTCCTCCTCCCCTCTCTTCCCCTTTTTTCCCCTCCCCTGTTTTTTCACTTTGCTCCCCCTCATCTCTCTATTGTGCTCTCCCCCACCTTCTGTCTCTATTATCTCTATCTCTATCTCTATATATCTTACTCTCTCTCAAAATCTGTGCACGGCCTGCCTGGAACACAGACATGCATCAGACACTGTCCCTACCCACAGTCAAGAGGAGTGATAAAGTGGGCTGCAAAGGGTAGAATGTGGTAGGAATCTTGAGTAACACTTGTATTAAAAACACATTTTATAAAACAGAATGTTTTATCTTACATTTATATATGTGCAGACATCAAATTTGTTCCCAGGCTTGACTTCTTTTGTCATTCTTCTTTGCTTCTGAGGTTTATCAGACGTTCAAGTGGGTTTTCTGTTCAGCATTTACACATTTGGATAATAAATAACTACTGTTATTATCACAGTAGTCTCTAAGGGACCATTGTGGAATCTGTTACTCCATCCAGTGCTGTTCCCTCTAGTTTTATTCTGTGCAAGTCATCAGTGAACTGCAAAGGGAAGCAATTTCAATTAGGGTCATGCAATAAGGTAACTTCTTCAATCCTACCCGTTGCTAACGTCTTGACAGTTACTTTTGGGTATGTTCAGTCCATGCATTCAGTCTTTTTCATCCATGTATCAGACTCTGAGACTTGTTTTGAGACCTTCCCACACAAATGGGGAGATGAGGAACTATACAACATCACCCTACCTTCAAGATAGCCAAGAGGAACTAAGAGAATACTGGTAGAACATGATTAGGAGCACAAGAGAGGAACAGTTAAAATCTTTTGGAGTTAGCATAGTGACAGGGTTTTTTTGTTTTGTTTTGTTTTTTGTGTTTTTTCATGGTGGGAAAGTGCCAAAGGGGCTTTTCTGGAAGCGGTGGAATTTGAGTGAAGTTAAATTAAATTAAAATTCAATTAAGATGGGTATGGTTCAATTGACTTAGTTTCCTCACCTTCAGAGATCCACAGATACCTTTGGAATGTTTCTTTTTATTTTTTTCCCTGTGAAATTTTGCAACTGGCTGTAGCCCCAGGGACTGGAACTAGCTCTTATCTGAGAATATCCTTCTGGACTCTCCAGCTTTGTTATATGTGTCAATGCCTCGTATTCATATCCAGATTCCTTCATAAATGATAACAAGCCTTTCCTCTCGAGGTTCTATATGTACCATCTTTCAAAGGCACATAATTCTGTCTAGAATGTTCACTAACCCCATGCACTTGCAAAATTACATTAAGATGATAT